GGTACTTTGAAGGATTGTATTGAACGTCGTCTATGGCTCGCTGATAAATATCTCTCTGTCATTAAGCCAATACATTCAACCACAACCACAATAGAGAAAAATGGTAAAATTATTATTATTATTATTATTATTATTATTATTATTATTATTATTATTATTATTATTATTATTATTATTATTATTATTATTATTATTATTATTATTATTATTATTATTATTATTATTATTATGTTTCAAAAATATTTTAAGTTTAAATTTTATAAATATTATGTATATATATATATATTCAGTCAAAATTTTTAAAAACTCTTTAAATTTAAATATCCAACATAATTTTGCAGCATATGCTAAGAGACGTAGCTTAAGGCGTGCTATTACATTGGCTAAGGATGCGTTTCACCGTAAAAAATGTATGAAATTTATGTCGTTATTTTGATGTTGTTACATGAACATATACATTGTGCATACCATAATCAATTACAAACAATCGAATTGAAAAACTATATTCTACATTACAGAGTACAAGTCACATATTCCACTATAGAAATGGTCAATACCGATACAAATAGTTACATAATACAGATTAAAATTAAATTACATATATATTCGTAAATATTTATCTAGGAAAAATTCTAAACCATCTTATTTCCAACGGAATTGATATCACTCCTCAACTATATATTGTCAATTGTATTTTATCTAATAGTATTGTACCTAATTGTTTTAAAAAATTCAACAGTATCAATATCGACACCCTCAACAAGGTCAACAAACATGGTTTCAACATCGAGGCAAAAAAGTGAGTCATAAAATAATTTTTTATATTATCTCAAACACATGTGCGTAATACTAATTCCAACAAAAATAAACAGGAAAATTTGTTAAAACATGTTCTACTAATACTGCTCTGCTCCAATGCCCATACTGTCAAGCATTAGTATGGCAAAAAGAGAGTACTAGCCGAAAGGATTGCAACGGGAATTACCTACATAGCATATGTTGTATGCAAGGCAGAGTCAAACTCCCACAGATGGCCCCTCCTCCTGAATTCCTGGAAGAGCTATACAAAACATCTGTTGGTTTTCGTACGAATATTAGAGCGTACAACTCAATTCTTGCATTCACATCAATTGGTGCCAAAATCGACCATTCGGTAACATCAGGAAATGGTCCATACACATTTAGAATCCATGGACAAAATCACCATCAAATAGGATCTCTATTACCGGTGGAAGGAAGGCCTCCCCAGTTTGCACAGCTCTATATATATGATACTGCAAATGAGGTTCGGAACCGTATGAGTACACTGAGTCGAACATCGAATGCTGGAGATTTAGATGAGAAAATTGTCACAGGCCTTATTCAGATGATGGACAATTTTAATTGTCTTGCAAAGATCTTTAGAAAGGCAGGGGATCGGTATGAATTAGGAGACGTCTCAAATTTCTCAATCACTTTGGTAGAACAAAAAAGACGTGGTAAGCAGTACGAGATGCCAGTTAGTGAGGAGATTGTTGGTTTGATCATTGGCGACATGTCAACAACAACTGGTGAAAGAGATGTTGTTTTACAGTTTAAACTATCATCTCATTTGCAACGAATAAGCGACCTTCATCCATTGTTTATGAGTCTACAATACCCGTTGTTGTTCCCCTACGGTCAATATGGATTCCACGAAGGAATCCAATACACAAATGAGCGAAACAAGATCAAGAGATCATTTGTAACCATTAGGGAATTCTACGCATACCAAATACAGACAAGATTATCTGAAGGAATGACAATTGTTAAAGGCGGACGTCTGTTTCAACAGTACGTGGTCGATGCTTACACTGCAATTGAGCAGGAAAGAATACGGTGGATGAGAAACAACCAAAAGACATTGAGAGCAGATCTTTATAATAATGTTTTTGATGCAGTAGACAAAGGAGATACAAATGCTAAAGTATTGGGCAGAAGGGTTATTTTACCTCCTACATTCACCGGGGGCCCACGATACATGGTTGAAAACTATCATGATGCAATGGCCATATGTAGATGGTTTGGAAATCCTGATCTTTTTGTTACTGTGACGGCAAATCCAAAATGGCAAGAGATATCCGATCATCTTAAAGCCTATGGTGGAGAATCTGCAAATGATAGGCCAGACATTGAATGTCGTGTTTTCAAGATGAAATTGGATGACTTATTATCCGATTTGAATGAAAGCATATTTTTTCCGAAGCCAATTGCAGGTAAAAATAAGTGTTCTATATATTTTATATAGAAAAACAATACATAAAACATCTTGGAATATCAATCTACTAACATTGTATACCACTTGTATAATCATTTTTGCAGTGATATACACCATTGAGTTCCAAAAACGGGGTTTACCACATGCTCATATACTTATATGGTTGGATCCTATGTATAAAAGCCCTACAGCAAATGACATCGATCATCTCATTTCAGCAGAGTTGCCGGACAAAGAAACTGATTTCGAAGGATTCAAATTAGTTGAACAACATATGATGCATGGCCCATGCGGTTTGGACAGACCTCGCTCCCCCTGTATGGAGAAAGGCATATGTACGAAAAGATACCCTCGACCTTACACGGAGCATACGACTGTTGATAAATCAGGGTATATTATATACAGACGACGGAAAGACATGTCTAGATTTGTGATGAAAGGGGATGTAAGATTAGATAATCGTTTTGTGGTCCCACACAACTTGGCGATTCTGAAGAAATATAAGGCACACATCAATGTCGAATGGTGCAGTAAATCGACAGCTATTAAATATCTCTTCAAGTACATCACAAAAGGGGTAGACAAGACAACTATCATTATTCGGAAAGGTACTAGTGCAATACAAGAGATAGATAAGAAAGCAGAGCGGGTGTATCAGATAAATGAGATAAATGACTACTTAGAATGTCGTTACTTATCTGCATGTGAGGCGGTGTGGAGAATATTATCATTTCACATACATTATCAGAAGCCTCCGGTCACAAGATTATCGCTACATCTCCCTAATCAACAAAGTTTGATATTTGATGACTCAACAAATCTTGAATGTGTTGTTTCGCAACCAGGCACTCGGGAAACAATGTTTACCGAATGGATGAACACCAACAAACAGTACAAAGAAGCAACACAGTTAACGTATGTTGAATTCCCAACAAAGTACGTATGGAATAACACTGGTAAATACTGGACTCAAAGGAAACAAGGATTCAATATCGGTCGAGTTGTAAACATCCATCCAACTGCTGGAGAGCTTTACTATTTAAGGATGTTAATAAACATCATAAAAGGACCATGCAGTTACGACGAAATCTATACAGTTGATGGTGTCAAATATAATACATTCAAAGATGCTTGCCAAGCTAGAGGATTACTTGATGATGATAATGAATGGAGTGAAGCAATAGAGGAAGCCGCAACATGGGCAACCGGAGGACAATTGCGTCATTTATTTGTTACACTCCTACTATATTGCGAAGTTGGAGAACCGCATAAACTTTGGGAGAAGTGTTGGAAGTCACTTGCCGATGGCATCCAATACAAGAAACAAAAGGAATTCAACTTTCCAAATTTGCAGTTGACAAATAACGAACTGCAACCGTATACTCTTATAGAGGTTGAGAAACTACTAATGCAAAATGATAATAATTTTATATTATCATTTAATTTTATATTAAATAAATAATTTACTCCAATTTTTTATCAACAAAATTTATAAAAACATAATCAAAATATAATAAAGATTAGCCCGCGCATCGCGCGGGTCAACAATTAGTGATGAGATAATAATACACATTTACCAAATGGATAAGAAAGAGATAACTTTTATTTGGTGTCCTTTAATCTTTATATGATTTCATAAATTGTTATGAAATTATTAAAGGTAATTATTTTTTAAACGAAAACTAAAAAGTAGTTATTTTTTAATATGATTTTCTTAAAATATTATCATTTAATATATAAAACTAATACCAAAATAGTTTGTTTAAGTTATCAAAATCTAAATGTTATCATTTCGGAATGTTATATATATAAAACTGGTGTTTTTATATAATGTACCACCTATTTATATAAATATATATATTTCATTTTGTATAAAACTTATTTATAAAAATGATAGAAATTATTTATGTCATACGGACAAAATCTATTGATAAAAATTTTGAAGCAGAGTCAGTCAGATTCGGAATCTGAAGAAGAGATGACCATGAAGTTGTCCGAACCTTCAAAGAATGTTGTTTATGACTGAAATGGGCTCCTCGATAAACTCCAATACATGAGCTGGCCGGAGACGTAGACTGGATTCATAAGTTGACAGTTATCGATCAGGGGCAAGAGGTGGATGTAAATGATGACCGCAAGAGGTGGATCTAAACGATGACCTTGCGAGGGAGCTTGCTTACTACACCCAAGAGGTGGTTATGGAGAGTTTTGAGTTATGGATCATAGAAGAAGACCTGAACTGTGTAGGAAGAAAAGTCTCGTAAGGGTTCGATTTGATCGGGAGAGGCCGGGTCGGACTCATGACCCGGGAACCCGGGGTCGACCCGACCGAGTCAAGCTCACTCCTCTTCCTCGGAGACTCGATCGAAGTCTCGTCGCCTCTGAATATGTCATTGAAGAAATCACTCGTGGTGAACCGTCGCCGATTCCAAGGATCGTCGCTGCGTCGCCGAACACCGGCTTCTCGGAGGACTCACCGAGCCACATGGACCGCCGCGAAATCAGAGGTCCGCTGACGTCGTGGAGAAATGACAGTCTCCTCGGCGGGCCACCGAACACGTCGACGAAGTCAATGTCGGAGTTATCTGTGGTCAGGTTACCCAACGCAGAACTCGAACTGGAATCTAGAAGAACACACTTCATACCGAAGTTGAGATCGCAATGCCAAAATTGGCGGAGAAAACCGGATCAGAAAGTAAAATGCCTACGCTTTCGATCGAAACTGTTTCCCTGTGATTCTGTATTTTGGTTTCTGGCAATTTTTTTCCAAGGAATTCAATGGAACAGAGAGAGAGAGATGGATTTTGATAATTTATTGGAGGAAAAAAGTACATGAGGGCATAACCAATCTCTTCGACTGTCCTCTACATTTTCGTGAATCGTGATTCTATACAAAGGGAAAAAAGGCAAATATCAAATAACGAAAAATAAATAAATATGATAGTGAGTGGGCTAATAAATACGTCGTTTCATTATCTTGTCTGTTTTCTGCTTTTAGCATTTTTAAATCTATATTTATGGTATTCAAAACAACGCTCCGAACAAATCTGTGATTTAAATTTCAAAAAATGGCGTCGAGTTCAAGACACCACTCCGAGTACACTCGTATAATTATGGTATTGTATTCAATGAGGAAGCTAAGACGTCAGGTTCAAGGAAGATTTATATTTACACTAATAACAATTAGATTTAGTGGGCTAATAATAAAAGAATTCTATTTTTTATTTAGTTATTTAATGTTTATAAAGTTATATTTTAATTATATATTAATCAAATTAAATAAAATACATCCTAAGATTCTCATTCACTATTTTAAAAAAAAAAATCGTATGTAACAAACATAAATTTTCATATATAGATTTTAATATATAAAATTAAACACAAAAATTAAATCTTTATATAAGAAACGTAAAAATAAATCTGTTTTTTTATAAACATGATTTTTTCAGAATATTATTTTAATATATAAAACTAATTCAATTTATTGATTACTTTACATATTAATATAATACCATAATTATTTATGATGCATAAAAATCAATAAAATTAAAAAATGTGCCATATAGGATGATGATGTAATATATAAACTAAGATCAAAATAAAATATTTATATATAATAAAAATAAACGTTTTCCTTTTTTAACTAATCTATTGATATTTATTATTATTATTACATATATCACCTATTTTTATAAAAAAATTTATATTTAAAATTAGTGTTAAATTATCATATATAAATGTGTAAGAAATCTTTATTATAATAATCTTAAAAATATGTAATAAACTAATGAAGAGGTTAATAGATAAATAAGGATTTAAAAATAATAATATAGAATATGAGGTGGCAAAAAAAATTGTCACTTGTATGCTGATATGGAGCGAGGTGTCTTCACCAAATCTCTTTAAATTCTTTTATTAATATATATAGATTTCTCGCCTCACCATGAATTTAATCTTGTACTGCGAATCCAATATTTTATGGAACATGAGAAATGCATTATGACACTAATTTTTTATTTTATTTGCAAAATTTTACTGTTATATTCAGTCAAAGCCAGACCAAATCTAATTTAATTTTTATTTAATAATATTCAGTTGAAAATCCCATGAATTATTTCATGGAATGGACAGAGGAGCCCCTAATCGTTACGTACTATCATATTCTACATGAAATGAGATGGTAAATGCCTATATGGAATGAAACTTTTCATCTATTTAAAAAAAAAAAAAACAAGAACGAAAAGAAGAGAGGGGAGACCCCTCCTAAGAATAACTAACAATGGCGACAAACCAAGATACTTAAACATCCGCAAAGACATGGAAGTTCTTGGAGTCGACAGAGATAAGCCTGAGAGCTGCGACGGCGGCCGCGACAGACATCAACCCGAAGAAGCAGACGTTGAGCCAATGCCATAGCTTCTGCACTGAACCGAGCTTGCTCTTCTTAGCCACAAGGAACATGTGGTTAGCCAGTATGAAGGTCAGAGGGAACGTGCTCAGCGCTCCGGTCAGGCTCATGAAATCCCCGAGGAACGGCAGAAGGGCCGAGAGGAGCGTGCTTACTGCTATGTATCCGCCTCTTGCTACGGTCCTGAAAGCCAGATTCTTTACTGCCAGCGAGCTTCCTTTGATTCCGTATTTAGTGTCCATGTATTCGTACGTTGGACTTGCAAAAATCTGCAAAAGAGGTCGTAAAAACCGGTTTCTAGTCAACATCTTCGGAACACTCTCGTATGATGTAAGAACAGAGATTAAGTAAAGGGTACATCTATATCGCGAAATGAACCGAGCAGAAATCAAGATCATCGATATACCGCTCTAGAAAAACCTTCGAACCCCTGGAAAACGTGGCCTTTCCAAGCATTCCAGATGCAGTGGAAGACTTTAAGACGGAGAATTGCTTACGTGCAAGGAGATAACCGATTGGAGGAAAGCGGATATACTAGCAAGGGCTTTCACCCAGGTCGGGCCATTGACGCTGTTTAGCAGATAGGTTGATGTGGAAGACCCGTATGCCCAATATCCGATGAAAGTAACCGCGTACATCGGTATGACTCCTGCCGTGAATTGAAAGTAGAGAGCTTTCATCATGTTCTTCACAACAGGCTGCCTTACCGTCGCCTGTTATAGCACAGAGTGGTGTTAAACGCGAGCATGATTCATGTATGGATCAACGATAAATGAAAAACAAACTCGTGAATTCGGAGGACTGACTTGTATTTCAGGAAGCATTCCCGTGTTAAACGCAAAAACCAGATTGGCAGCTGCTCCTGTTATAGTAAAGATTTTGTCCGTCGATGAACCCTGTATGTTATAATCCCTGGCAGGTGCTTTTACTCCTACAAAGGTAAAGAACCTGGTTGATCAGTAGACTATCGACGTGAATAATGGATTAGTTATCATCGCCAGAGGTCTCTCGTCATGAGAAATTACCGTCTTTAACTGACAACACTATTGCTATGACAATATAGATGAGACTGAGGACGGTTGAGACACCGAGCCAAATCCCGAGAGCCGATAAATGAGGGATCCCAACTGCGAAAAGGGCACACACGAGACCCGCAATGGCAATGAAGTGAGGCAGTTTCATGGCATGGTCGTCTCTGAAAAGTACATAAACAGCCTGCAGAAAAACAGAAAACGGGCAAAAAGACTCGGAAATTCAGAACAGAGTGACTAACTCTCACTAACTGGCAGTTCAAGAATCAAGAATTTTCTCCCGGGTTGGTGTCATATCATACCTTCAAGGCAGAACCAGCTAGGATGATGTAGCCACAATTGATCATGAAAAGATTTACATATTGCAATCCCCACGTAAGACAATAAGCCTTTCGGCCTGCAAAAGGAGAACATATGAGGGGAAAACAACCAAGTAAACATACTGAACAAACATGCCTTCCTACAGACAGAAAGTAGCAGAGATAGATCTGATCATTACCGTATATGAATCCGGCAAGATCTCTGTACCTAATATGTCTTTTACCACCAAACTCGTGAAGTTTGGCGATAAGAGAGTTGGCATAAAGAGAGATTGCGGTGGCGAGAAGTAGACCGACCACACCACCAATCCAACCCAAAGGAACCATGATGGTGCCGGAATACCCCAACACATAAGCACTGTTTATTCCAGTTGTCAGAACAAATGCCACTTGAAACCATGAATCTGTAGAAACCAGAATGCACACAAAAAACTTGAGCTTACTGCAATGAACTAAAGACCAGATTCAACAGTGGAACAGTGGTCAGATCATGACTCTTACAAGTGTATAAACTAAGGCAATATCAGCCTAGATTCTTCTCATTTTTCATCTGAAGCAGAATCAGAGGATAATATATAAGAGCAGCAGCAGGTTCTACACACTTAATGAGCAAGAGGGTATGTTCTGGAATCATCAAAGACTAGAAATTTACAAAAGGGCATCGCCAAAATCTATTCTTTCATCTCCAAAACCAAAAGAGAACCAAATAAAAGCAAAGATTTCAGGTCCAAGAAACAAAATTGCAGAAAACGCATATTCATACACAAACACACTTATCATGGATACATATATTATAAATACACCCTCGGGATTTTGCTTTGTAACCAGATTAACAGAAATTCAGCAAATCCCGCTAAAGAGCATCCGTTAAGAACTGGTCAAAGCTTAACAATCCTCTGCTTTTTCATTTGTTCACATGTTTTTTTTTTTCAATTTACCTCCTCCAAGGAAAACGTGGATCATTCCCCAGAGAATGGAACTACACTAGAGAGAAAAAGGTTTCTCGCACATGCAACCAAAATTCTCCACGAAAATGGCAGAGATCGTAGAATAAACGACAACTCCACTCAGTTAAACTCCCAAAACAAAAACAAAAAAAAAGGGGGCAGAAATGGAGAAAAGGAGACCGAACCGCTGCTGATCTGATGAGCAGTTTCAGGGATTTCAATGGATAGATGTTCCTCGGCATTAACCTTTCGGTTCCTGGGTTCACCTCCTTCCATGATTCCGAGGTTTGACTCTTCTCTCTCTCTCCCCACGAGCCGTACAGTTTCTTCTTCCTCTGCCCCTCCCTCCCCTACCACATGAACATAACTTGCAAAAGCCAGCTTTTTATATCCGGTGAATTCCCTGTTTTTTTTTTTTCCTTTTTTAGCGAATCTATGCGCAAATGCAATTAATTCCCCCAAAAAGAAATTAATTTGCTAGACAGAAGAATGCCCAAGAATCCAGCAGGATTCGCAACTGAAATTTTATTTAAAAGAATTACAAAATAAAAATGGATTCTTTTCCCGGATGCTCGATTTTCCCCTCTCTCCTTCAACGACTTTCTTGGGTATCAGAAAAAAAAAAAAAATCCGATCTTTGTTTGCCGGGTCCGACCGATGATTGCGTCTCGGTGTCTGAAATTGTATCGTTGATGAGATCCTATGAAATGGGGCAATTTTAGGGGAATCTCTCGCCCTGTGGTCTGTCTTTCAATAATTCAATTATTGAGTTTTCGTTTAATTTATTTTTTTTATATTCGTTTAATTTAATTTTAGTTGCTGGGTATTACTATTATTTTTTCTTATGTTTTACAAATTTTCTGATTCTATTTATTAAATCCAATTCAATGAATGTATCATTTCGAGGAAAATGGATTCATATTGGGATTTTCTTTTAGAAGGAAATAATTGATGGTGAGACTCTCTATTTGGTTTTTAAAAAAAATTATCAACTATGGGTACTTACTCTTTTTAAATTATATTATTTTTGGGAGGTTAAAACATTTCATTTAATGGCATCGATTACATTTTTTCATCAAATAATACAAAAACGAATTAAATTAAGGAGCTTGCGTGAAAAAAAAACTATAACCTAATTTGGGCCAAAATCCAATTGAAAAAAAAAATCATATGTATTGAGAAAATGTATAAATTGTTTAAAACAAGAAGCAGATAAGATGCATTTATTAACATTGTGCATGTATATTGTATCATTATCATGTTATGACCAGTGATATTAAAAGGTTTTATAAATTTTTTTCTTTTTGAATTTTTTTTATTGGTTCAATCTGATTCGCGAAAAAAATCTGTTTTTCTTTTCAGAAACTTACCTTTTTTTTTTCTAAATTAAAATTGTTAATATATATTAGAAAAAGAAATAAATCACCTATAACACTTAGTTTACAATTGGCTAAAGTGTTTTCAAATGATATTATCATATCTGTTTTCTGAAAAATCTTTACTTTATATGTTTTATTTTGTACCAAAAATCTCAGGTCACTAAGATTTTGAGATTTTAAAATTATTCATAAAATTATGTACAGTTTGCATATTTAAAGAGAAACAGTCTAGGGTTAAAGACTAATTATTCATAAAATGGTTAAAAATTACTCTTAATTTCTAACACATATGCACGTAATTTACTTGTAATATTGTACGAATAATATCTTCTTACCAAAACGTTTTCTAAACACAAAAACATGTAATATTATATATATATATATATATATACATATATCAGGCTTTTTTATTAATTCTTTATATTTTATAAATATATTCAATTGGCACGAAGGTTGGCAAATTTGGCACAGTAGCCAAAACGATGTCACAAACAAACAAACAAACGGAAGATATTAAATTCGTTTTAATTAATAGCACAAATGTTTATCGGAATATTTTTTTTCCAGCTCCACAAAACGGTCGGTCCATGTGCAATAGCACAACGAAAACATAAAAAAAATGTAACTATTGATATGAAACACAGATATAAGTCAGTCCAAAATCATTCTTAAAACAACATGTCACAATTACTCTTTCTTCTTCTTTTTTTGATGAAAATTAGAATACCTGCCTAATAAACAACATATGCCCATCTCTATATTTTATATTAGGCAAATAAATAAATTGATTAGTATAACAATCACCAATATTCGTAATTTAATGGTTAAACATAAAAAGATACCCTTAAAACTTAAATATAACAAATAAACCCATTATTTAGGTTACCTACAATGAAGAAATGTAGCGACCCATCAAAACCACCAAAAGCCAACTTTAGACTTGAAAATGACCAGAGCCACAATGAGACGTTACTTATTTAATGAGTTTTAGCCTAAACATACAACCCACACAAAAATTAGATTTTTTCAAGTGTAAAAAATATTTTTAAAAATTAATAAAACTAAAATTGTACGGATAATATTAAAAAACATTTTTTTTTTGCAAAACTAAAACAGTATAAATACATAATATAAAAAATTAATTAGAACCAAACCCCATATATATGTGTGTGTAATTTTTATTATGTTTTTTGAGATTTAAAAAAAGTGGGTTGGGTCCTTTTTTTACATTGGAATAGATTGTGGTCGTTCTCAACAGAGACGTGGAAGAGATCTATTAATATAAGGGAATATATATATATATATATATAATGTTTGCATAATTGTAGTCAAGGCCACCGGATTCGATTGACGCACTAATAAAAACATATATTCGTCGAATGGTGTAATTAGATATTATTCATTGTTTTGTTAGTGAAATTAGCTTTCTCTAAAGGAATTTTTCTTTTGTCTCCTTGGTGTCTGTTTAGACCAATCACAATAAATAAGGCATACAATTTTTATTTTAAATCCACATTTAATTTAATAATGCCGTAAACCTATATTCATAAAACTAGTTTTCAAGTTTCCAAAAATATATATATAAAACAAAAAAAAAAAGATATGTCCTGAAGATGCTTTCGAAGTGCCAAATAAATAATGGAAGGAATTTAACGTCGTGAGAACAACAATAAAAAAAGTGCGTGAGAGGGAGAAATAATGTGGTGGACAAAATTTAAGTAAGGTCAATTCACATGAGATATTGTATGCTACAAGCAACTTTGTCTTGCTTTTAAAATTGGTTTTTAGACCGTCTTTTTTTCTCAAATGGAATATGGTCAAGCTAGGGTTATATATGTATATAATATGTATTCAAAATAAAAATCCAGTCATATTCAATTTGATTTAAAATCTAAATATTTATCCTTTTTCAAGGATGGAGAAGCACATGCATACTACTGCAACACCCAACTATATATATGTATATAGTTCTTTAATTTAATCTAAAAAAAATTATATTTTTCTACACGAATTTAGCAAAATGTGACATTTTCATATACATATTTTTAATTTGACAAAAAGATAAACTTAAATTCTAAATTTTCCAAATATCTATACGAATTATTAAAATTAACAGTAATTATATACATAATCATCATTCTCGATAAAATTTTTTGGATTATGTTAACTAGTGTAGGGACGTAAACTGCATTTTGCTAAATTTGTGTAGAAAAATGAAATTTTCCATAATCTAAAATACTTTTATTATAACTAATTAACCCTATACACCAGTTTTCCCGAAATTGGTCCACAACATAGTGTGTGTATATATATATATATATATTAATGCATAATTATCATTTAATTTTTATATGACCGAATCCGAATGTAAACTAATTTAAACCCGTATTTCTATTTTGTAAATAAGAGGAACAAATCCTCTCCTGACGGCAGAGTCGAGCAGCCCAACTAGGCCCATATTGGAATTCTATTGGGCCTTTCCATAACGTAATGGGCCCAAACTGATTTCTAAAACAATGGTTCCAATTTGGGTTTGGGAGAAAAGCAGTGAGAACCGGTTGATCTCCAAATAAATATACGTGGCTTGCCGTCAAATACATCTAAATCTTTTTCCTTTTTTTTTTTTTGCCAATTCAAAATTTTATAAGTGCAGTGTTGGGTACAACATTTGTTGTTTTTCGTAGAAACCAATTATTTATTTATAAATCCACGAAATAATATAAATGATATCTTTTTTTAAATGTTTCATAAAAAAGTTGAGTTTGAAAAAGTATTTCATAGTATTATGTTTCTAATTTATAAGTATGCATGTTCAGATCGATTATTTATATTTATTCATAAAAACATGACCGATACAGAAGATAAGAGATTAATTTTAAATTTGGATATACACATCATCCAACATCAAGACATAATATTATTTTTAATTGACTATTTTTGTATTGAGTCTCATTTTTTTTTAACCCTGTAACAAATTTTTTAGCGCTCATATAATTAATGTGCATATAGAAAAACCTTTTTTTTCATATTCTGTTCGATTTTTTTCTTTTTTAAATAAATGTTTTTTTGTGTTAAATGTGAATATACATTATTAAAAAAAAGAAAATCGTTTACGGGAAGCACTAAGCGCAAAATAAATGTTGTTTGAATATGATATATGTACTTACGAATATTCAAAATTAAGATGCGGTATAATCTTCAAGCAAAACATTAATTTTCAAAGCACTAATATCTACTTCCTTTTTTTTGAAGAAAAATAAAACAAAGACATATATATAATATAGAATATTTCTATATATATATTATATATAATATAGAATCGTCTCCACTTTTGTACCAAAGCAACATCAAATTCAATTCCATTATTCTGTTTCTCGATTAATTGTGTTCTTTTACAATACTTTACTTTTATGTGTCGGAGATGAAAATGATTGCTTGATCGCAATGCGCCTAAACATATTTTAGTCAACCATGTGACCAATGATCGACGCTTTCCCTCAGTAAATAAATTCAGTTACGGTCCAATAAATTACCTTTTGAATCGAAATAATATACAATCCCTGCATGTTTATCATGTTTTGTTCTGTAGTATAGGTTCAATTTATTAATTGAATTTAAAACAGTTACATTAGGAGGTTATTAGTTTTTTTACAGCCATTCAGAGTTCTATAACGAAAAATCCAAGATAATACTACGTAAAAAAAAATGTACACTAATTTAAAAATTTTATATGTTTTCATAAAAGAGAAAAGGTAATTAAAAAAAATCAAATGTTGTAACTTGTTTTTCGTTCATGGATTGCCCAAAATCATGTATAATGATTAAGTTATATATCACAAAAAACTCACTTATCTTAAAAAAAAAAAAACGTTGACGAAAAAAGGGAAATAAAGAAAAGAATTAATAAGAGAGTTTATTTTAAAAAAAAACCTTTGAGGTTAATTGGGGTTTGTTAATTTTAAGTTAATAATTTATTACATCTGGTTTTGATTGTTGCATGTTGAAAAAAAAAACGGTTTGACCACGGTAAGAGCAAACACAAGTAAATAATTAAATCGGCAAGAGAAAATTGAAAAAGAAAACGAAAGGGAAGAAAGATACAACAACTTTCCGGGGAAAAAAAATCAGGTTTTAGAAAAAAATACCCAAAAATTTATTACTTTTAAAAAAAATACATTTTGTTATGCACAAATCTAAATAAAAGGTTTTTTATAAAATAAATAAATGTTTATTTTTTATAAAATATTTTAAAAAGCTATTCTATTCAGTATTATCAAATTAACTATCATCACAATCATTATATATATATATATATTTTTGTGAGATATAATCTAACATTTGTGTTTTGTAATAAAATAGATAAAAACAAAAACTTTTAAAATTTTGT